AGTGAAGCCTTCGCGGAGAATCCTTATATTGTCCAGATAGTTAGCAAATGCTGGCCATTCCTCCGGTGCAGAAACCATCTTTACCACTTGGATGCAGTCCGTAGCAAATGTAACATGAAATTGACGCAGATTCCTCATGCTTTCCATTGCCCATATGAGAGCCTCAATTTCCGCGTGCAATGGGGAGAGACTTCTCCTCGTATTCCTTGCCCCCATTAAACCCCTAAAGCCCGGAAGGGTACTAAACCAACCCTGGCCGGAAAATTTATCATGTTCCGTCCAAGACCCATCAGTAAAACACCACCTGCCGGGTATGTGAGGTAAATTTGCTTCCCGAGGTTCCATTGCCTGCTGAATGCTGTGTTGCATAGTTTCCTGAGCTTCCTTCCATAGTAGAGATTCCGTTTCAGCCAGCCGCAAAGTATCCCTGGGTTCAACATTAATATTACTGAAAACTTTATTATTCCTTGCTTTCCAAATATACCATAAAATCCAAACAAATTGATGATCATCCACTACCGACTTAATCCTCCAAAATAAATAATCCATATTAGTAAAAAGGGCGGAGGTGGGAAATACACTCAGTCTCGAAGGGATCTTGGACAGAGCCCATACTTGAACCGCTGGAGGACATTCAAAAAGAACATGATTAACCGATTCCTCAGCCGCTCCACATCTCTCACAGTGTAAGTCTCCTTTTATACCCCTAGACCTTAAATTTTTCCGCACAGGTATGCAACCCGTAACAATCTGCCAAAGAAAATGTTTCATCTTCGGAGGACATCTAATTTTCCACGAATGCGCCTTTAAAGCATTCACGGAAGGACCATACCCCGACAGAACTTTTTCCTTATCAGGATATACTCTCTCCACCTGATACCTTGACTTAACCGAATATTTCCCGTTAATCGTAAAATGCCAGCCTATCTGGTCCACTCGAGTAAACTTACCTAGAGGTATACTCTCAATTATCTCCGCTTCCGCAGGAGAAACTAAATTCCTTATGACCTGAGAATTCCATTTCCGAGTAGTTGGAACTATCAGCTGATCCACTGTGAGATGAGGATCGATGTCTTGTTGATTTGAAATTGCTGGTCTCGGGCGAGTGGTTGGGATCCAAGGGTCGTTCCACACTGAGATGGATGATCCTGATCCCACCCGTTTAATTAGTCCTTTAACAACCAGAGATCTAGCAGAAATAATACTACGCCAGCCATAAGAAGGCGAGTATGAACGCACTTGTGCCATGGGAGATGTATTCCTGAAATATCTTCCTTTGAAAACTCTAGAAAATAGAGTTTCCGGTTTTTCCATCAATCTCCAGAACTGCTTACCAAGCATAGCCGTGTTAAAATCCTGAAGATCCTTGAATCCTAATCCTCTGACTTCCTTATCGGTACACATCTTATCCCAAGATAACCAATGCATACCTCTTGTACTCCCCCCCGGGCTCCACCAAAACTGAGCCACTGTACTTGTTAATTTAGAAATAATCTTCTTTGGAATCCTGAAACAAGACATAACATGATTTGGTAGTGCTGTTATCACCGATTTTATCACTACTTCCTTTCCTCCCTTCGAAAAAAATTTAAAAGTCCAGCCATTAACTCGATTACTCATACGCTCCTGTACGAAGCCAAAAACTTGAGTCTTTGGACCTCCTAAGCTTTCCGGTAATCCCAGGTAAGAACCCATTCCTCCTATATTCTGAATACCCAAAATATTCCGCAGTTCCTGTTGGACTTGTCCATCAATCTTAAACCCAAATTGGATCGATGATTTTTGGAAATTTATCACCTGTCCAGAGACCTCCTCATACTCTTTCAGAATCCTGAGGATAGTAAGGCATTCCTCCTGCTGTGCTTTACAAAAAAACAAGCTATCATCTGCAAAAAGTAAGTGTGAAATCGCTGGGCACGCTCGAGCAACTTTTATCCCTGTCAGTTGTTTATTCCTCTCCGCCTTCTTAATATTGGCAATAAGCGCTTCCGTGCACAGAATAAACAAATATGGGGATAGTGGATCCCCTTGTCTCAGCCCTCTCTGTGGAACAATATTTCCTCTAGGATCTCCATTAATAAGTACTCTATATTGCACAGAAGAAACACATTCCAAAATAATTTTGACCCAATGGGGATGAAAGCCCATTTTCCGAAGCAAAGCTTGGATAAAATCCCATTCAACTCTATCATAGGCCTTACTCATATCTGTTTTTATCGCCATAAACTTCTTCTGGCAAGCTTTGTTTGCTCGTAACCCATGAAACATCTCCTGAGCAATAAGGATATTATCTGAAATTAACCTCCCCGGAACAAATGCTGACTGCGTCTCCGAAATCAACCGGGGGAGACAAACCTTTAGTCTTTGACACAGAACCTTCGAAATAATCTTATAACCAACATTACAGAGGCTTATCGGACGCATTTCTGTCATCCTAGTAGGTCTCTCGACCTTTGGAATCAAACAAATATTAGTTGTATTTAATCTTGGATCCAACTCGGCCGAGGTTAAGAAATTATTGACCAAATCCAATACATCCTTTTTTATAACCGGCCATGAGTGCTGGAAAAATAAAGGAGTCATACCATCAGGCCCTGGAGCCTTTTCCGGATGCATCATAAACAAGGCTTGTCGCACCTCCTCCTCTGTCGCCAATCTCAGCAGCCTCTGGTTCATACAATGAGTTATAGACGATGGTATTTCAGCAAGGAAATCATCAAACTCAGAGGGTTGCTTGGAAGCAAATAAATCATTAAAAAAATCCACCGCAACCTTCTCAACTCCCTCATCCTCCGTTATCCAGTTATCCTCCGCATCATGGAGTCCCACAATTCTGTTCCGAGTCCTGCGTTGTTTTGTCAAAGCATGAAAAAACTTCGTACTTCGATCGCCTCCCGTATTCCACAAATTCCGACTTTTTTGTTGCCAATAATCCTCCTCCTCTTTATATGCCTCCTGTAGTTTCCTAGAGATATTCACTATTTCTTCCTGTGTCCTATTATTATCCATTTGAACCTCCTCCAGCGCCTCTTGTAGCTCACTTATCTTTGCCTTCCCAAATGTAGGATTATCCTTTCTCCATCTAGAAATTTCCTGTCGACAATTACTAATCTTATTAACAAAACTTCCCAACCCATCACCACACTGCCGCTCCCAGCCTTTAGAAATAGAATCCAGCAGGCCTTCCCTACCAATCCATCTTTTGTCAAAACGAAACGGACTCCTTCGTCTAGAAACTTTATCTTCCATGAACGCCACTACTGGTCTATGATCCGAACTCACCATTTTCAAATATTCTGTGTACGAACATGGAAATAATGCGTGCCATTCCTCATTTGCTAAAGCTCGATCCAATCTACATCGTACAATTTCTGTTCCCCGTCTACCTTGCCAAGACATTTAATTTCCCCGGGCCGGGAATTCTAGCAGGCCCGTATTCCGAATCATATCATTAAAAGGTACAAAAGAAGCAGCACTCCGTAGAGAACCTCCATTCTTCTCGTGATTACCAGTAATCTCATTCAAATCCCCTATAACAAACCATGGTTCTGATCTCGCCAAACCGTATCTTGTAAGTCGTTCCCATACTTGTTCCCGTAACTGTTGAACCGGGTCTCCATAAACAAAAGTTAAAAACACTTGTCTGCCCATTATAACCGCTTCAATATCAATTACTCTGTTGCTGGTAAATAAAACTTTCACTTGAAATTCCTGGTTATAAAATAACGCCAAGCCTCCACTCCTACCTATCGGATCTACTGTGACCAGAGAGTCAAAGCCTAAATGGTTTTGAAAATCTTGGACAAAATCAGACTTTTGTTTCGTTTCCGATAAGAATAAGAAGTCCGGTTTATGTTTATACCAAATTTCCCGAAGGTAACTAATTGTCCATTTACTCCCCATGCCCCTACAGTTCCAACTTAGAGCTCTCATAAAATAAATCTTTCTCTGTCCTCCGAGCTGCACGGATGGGTTTAAGGAGACCCGAGACGCTTATACACAATAGTTGGTAACTCGTTATAGAGACACCGTAAATGTATATCCCAAGAACCATTATCATACCATTGTGAGAAATCCTCCCCCTTATCTGTCCCATACATCGTACATGCCCATTAGACCGCAAAGCGTTTAGTTGGCAAGAGGCTATGAACGTTCTCACCAGAAACCCAATCCGATACCCTGTCGACCACTGAGTGGTCTGTATCTTGTACTCCCTGCACTCCATGCTCCAAAACCAGGTGATATCTGCCTCCTCTCCACCTAGAACATAACCGCTAGAGAAGAACCGGGAATATAATGATGAGATATTCAATGACCTAGCCCACAACCTGCACAAAGTCCGTCTCCTAAGCCCAAAATGGGAAGAATACTTCTCTCGAAACCCAGCTTTTGTCCAACCTGTACCACTGAGAACCACATAGAAAGATAAAATCCTTGAGGAACCATATACGTTTGGGAGAGAATACCAATAATGGGGCACAACCTGCACATTAGTACTCAACCAACCATCCCTAAGCCAAAACCAAACCATTGTAAACCTATCATTCCATCGGGCTTGTCTCTTAGCTGTACTAGAAAAGCAGCAGAGACCAGAATACGCTAATATCCAGGTCCAAGACATCATGAGCCAGACACACAGTAACCATAATTGAACTCTTCCAATCCAACGCATAGAACAAAAACCATAAACAAAAAGAAACACTTTATTCAAGATCCTAGATACTTCTAAGATCATACAAATAGGACCCGTAACCATGGACCCAAGAAAACTAAAAGGTAAATGCAAAATACTCATAGAGCTTATTATAAATTGAAAATACAAAAAACCAAACACCCAAGCCACTCCACCGTTCGATCTCTTGTCTCTGAATTGTTTTAAATCCATAAACTATTTTAAGTTTGGTTTTGTGATGACCCCATTCCTCATTTCTCCTGGTTTAGACCCTCCTCCCTTACGGCTACCTATGGGTTTGAGTTGCTGACGCTTGCGGGGGGACAGAAGAACCTGCGCAAACTTCTTGGTCATAGGTCCTCCCACAGTTGTGGAAACAATCGGTTTACGCACACCCCCCTTCTTAGCTGCATCTGCCACCATGACCTCCAACTCCTCAGCCGTATCAGTTCCCAAATTGTCCTCTTCCGTCTCCTTGGCCCCCACAACGTCCTTATTCTCTTCTTCCTCATCCGTCAAATTCTCAAACTCCTCCTCAGACTCTATTTCCTTCTCACCTCCCCTTTCATTAAAAACCACTCCCTCCAGCTCCATCCCATCGCTTGTCAAATTCTGAACTCCTTTTGTTGGACTCCCCATAAAAGCATCAACACCATTCTCAGAGACCGGAGCGACAGAGTAGTCTTCAAAAGGACGTTGCTGAACCTGTTGGTCCACTTGTTGAATACCTTCATCACCGCTTAACTTTGGTATCTCCACAACCCGATGATCCTCAACCTGAGCCCGAGCCAAACCCTGGACGCCTTCCTCCACCTGAGCCTGTGCAGACTCGAGGACTTCTCCCTCTTCAGGTTGATTGTCAAGAAAGCGCTGTTGTCCAACGACTCCCCGTGGAGACCTAACACGATCAGCCGTAGTATCATGACGCACCTGATCCCATCTGGAATTCCTTTGCCTGGATCCTCCCTCTTCCCCCCTACTACTTCGGTTAGAATAGGCTCTTTTACTTCCTCTCTCAGGCACTTTTGTCCATTTAGGACCCGTCTCCTCATGCATCTTTCCTTTTCCTTTCCCCTGGTAACCCCTTTGATCATTATGAGTCTCCGGGTAACCTCCATCCCCCTTTATAACAACCCCCTTATAACTTCTTGCCCTATCCTCATGCCTGCTCTTGGTATCCTCACGAGAATCCCTTTTCCGCTCCACCTTCTTTGCATTTAATGGACAGTAGTCTTCATGGTGGCACAAGCTGAGACACGTCTGGCAATAGCCAAACAGTTTCTCATACACCAAAGTGACTGGAACCTCCACCTCCTCATAGAACCGGCCTCCTTTGAAGTCAATTGTTGTATCAAAGCACAACTCCTGAGAACCATCCAACACCACTCTAATCTTGCCAAAATCCAGATCAACATCCGTTGTAACACCAATAGCATCTCCTATGCTCTGAAACGTCTCCGCCGACCAAAACTCATTAGGTACCCCCATTACCTTGATCCAGAAAGGGATTTCAGCCGGGTACTGAAGTGGCATCCGTTGTTTCCAACGTCCTAAAGAAAGCATCCAGAAATCGAAATGGAAAGGTTGTAACTCCATAACCGCAAGGATGTCCTCCTCCTTATCAAAATGAAACTGGAACCGCCCCAATCCCAAGTCGACCCCCACCACCCTGTCTTCCATTTTCCATATCTTCGGTAGCATCACCAGCAGAGACTCCACTTTTTGCTCTTCCGGGTTCATACATCTCCCGACCAAAGTTCTGGAGTAGCTGCGGATCAAATCAGAGTTGTCGAAGTGTGCAACTGAGATTTTTAACCTCTTCCTTTTGTTGTCCCCAACCTTGGCCTCACCACCACCGCTTGCTAGTTGACTCTGTGACATCTCTACAAAGAACAGAGCAAAGAGGAAAAACGTAGAAATCTCGTAGAAAGATACTACAGCCGGAATGCACAACCCCAAAGACCACCAGACCCTTTTATACTCCCACCATACGCCATAAGAGAAGATAGCGTATCTACCTTTTAAATGATGAATAATCGGAACTTCAAAGCTGTATCTCCCATCAAATATGCAAATCTAATTCCCTTCTAAAACAAGCCAATCGAATCTCCAGTTACCAGACCCTCTCCCAAGCAAGGAAATTCGTACCTTGACGCAAACCCCAAACTTTCCTTCCCTGAATACTGAAGACCACGAGCCTTTCCTATAATCGAGCAATACCCAAATCCTATCGAATCTCAGGGCTAGCAAATCTCTACCCCCTTGAAACCAAATCTCCGAGAATCCATTATCCCAAGATCCTTGCCCAAATGCAATAAACCAAATCCTCCTCTGAAGATATAGATATAATTTTCCTTGAACCTCACGATCTCCACCGAACCCCCAAATCCCTGGATCCCATCCAACGTGCATTCGAAACCCTAAGAATCTCCTTCCCAATCGCCGTCGGGAGAGAATCGTTTTTCTTTTGTGTATAGTATCATTCAATATAATACCAATTAATTAAAATAAAAATTACTTATATTAGTTAGTCTGAATAAAATATAAAATTGTTAGCGAGTATTCGAAATATTAATTAGTTAAAATAGAGAATTATGTTTGTTTTAAATGACAAAAAAATTATGTTGAAATATAAGAGTAATTAATATTTTAATGACAAAATATATAGTAGAACAATTGAAACGAAGATTAATAAATATTTAGACAACTAGGTAGTAACTTTCGTTGTGCGTAGGGCGAAATAGTTTTAGATTATATATATTACTAGGGTAGACCCGCCCTACGGGCGGGATTTGATGGATCAGTTTTAATAAAATCTATAATTTTATGTAAATTTCATTTTATGTTAGATTGAGTGTGAATATGATTTTGTTGTCTACAACAAATTTCAACTATATAACTAAAATTATTGAATTCTTAATATTTTGCTCTTGTAATCCTAAATTGTAAGGTTTTATAGTGTTTTCAGTTTTATAACACTATAAAATATATAAATCAATCAGATTTGGTCAAAAGAAGATGAGATCCATATTTCCAATACCATTGTATCTTTTTTTGTGAGGATTCTTTGTCAAAGCTATTGTAGTTGTTTTATAGAATGTTAATAATTGATATCATCAACAATTGAGGTTGATTTCGATAACTTTTTTGATAAATTATGATGTGTTTTATTTATGTAAAATAAGAAACTATATATAAATTAAATATTTATTTAAAATCAATTTATATATATTAAAACAAATACTAAAATACACGAATATATATAATAATATTGATTAACAAAATCATATATAAATTCAATAAAATGTTAAAGTTGTAAGTATATTTGCAAATAAAAACTATAAATTTTATCATCTGATAAATTATGACCAAGTCACGTGTCGCGTTCTGTTGAGCCTATTTACTCATGTGGCAGTCTCAGTATTGAGAAAAAGATTTTCTTTTTATATAAATATATTAAATTATTATTAAGTTTCATATTAATTTGTAAAAAATATTTTAAAATATATTTATTATTCAGTTTAGTTACCTTTATCAAAGGTCATATTTTTATCTAGCTAATAAATATATTCATTTTATTATGTAATTTTTTTACCTTTTCCAATACTTGTATTATTCTTATAATTTGTTTTTTGTTTCTTATAATTTGCTACATACGGGGTTTGTCTATAAGAATGATTATATGTTTGTATTTTGTTTTCTGCAGCATATATTTTGTATATAAATTTATTTGTTGTAAAATATGTCATTAGGCAGTTTTTAAAATTATTTCAATGTCTTGTTGATGAGCATGTTCTTTTATCTGTGAAAACATGTTTATAGTGAGTACTTAGAGTAAGTTGTAATAAAAATGGTTACATCCTAGCTAGTTATGTATTTAGGTGAGTGGACATATATGGACATTATTACCTGGTGTTAAGTTATAGATTGTTTGTGGTGCTTAATGCTTATTTGTTTTTAATGGAGCAGTCTTTTCGTTTAGCTATGGAACGGTACATCTCGGGTTTTTTTTTGTATATATTTTACATGGAGCTAAGAAATGGAAGTTTTAATAAGTATGTGGTGGGTTCTTAAACTCAAAACATATGTATTCGAAGGGATTTAGTTATGCTTTCGTTGGTTTATTATGAAATGTGTTCACAACCGAGCGAAAAGTATTATATATATGTATTCTTCAGTTTTAAACTCAAAGTTAAGCTTTAACTCAAGATCATTGTAACAACGGCTACAAAAAACATAGCAAACTCCAGATGAGGAGAAATTTTTTCTTAAATAACACTGATGCCTAAGCCTAAGCATTATTCAAAGAGGTAACCTGACTTGAGAATTCACATTCTACAAAACTAACATTAATGCCGAAGCATTATTGAAAGAGGAAAACTGGCTCAAAAACTCCATCATGTTCACTTAAACTTTTCGTGCCTTCTTAACGAAATTCAAAGTTGTTGAAAGTCAATGCTCCATGGTGGTAGGACCACTGGAGAATGTTCTTGCAGATGAGGTTTTCACACGTTCTTTATCATCGTCGCCATCCTGATTACAGAGAATCACATATCATTACTTTCATTCTACAGAAGGACCAGTATGAATTAAATGTGGTATTTTACATCGACGACAAATTTATGCAGTGGCAGACACAGTCATGTGGGAGATAGTGAAGGTCTGATGGTTGGCAGTGAGGTTGTACATGCCTAGCCTGACCTGGAAGCTGTATGTATTACCAACTATGTACACAATAAAAGGAGGTGGCTGAGTCTCCTCTATGTTAATTCCCTCTCCAGCCTATGAGTTAAACATTTTAGTTGCAAATGTAATTTCATCATCTCTCCATCAAAAGCCACAAATAGACCCTTATCCATATAGTCAGTAATACTTATCTCCACATAGTACCTTGTAATAAATTGTATGAAAACCATGTTTATTGTTTAACATAATTAAAAACTCTATAAAAACTCATAAATTAGTTTAAAGACGACGAAGATATGTAAAACAATTAATCGGAGAAATTACTCAGACGTAAAAAATATGAACATAAAAGAAAGATTTAGCAATCATCAAAAGGTGGAGAATGACTCAGCCAAAATCCTATAACAAAAACTTCAAAACACGATGAAAAATTATAATCTGGATTCAAGAAGGCAGAGATGTGTATAGGATCTAACTTGAGATATTATTTAGACTATGAACTAAAATCGGAGTTTAAGAGAAAACCTGAGAGTCAAGAAGGAGCATGTCGACTCCCATGAGATCTCCACCACAGCATACATTCCTGGCCTCTCAGAAACAGAGAAACTTGGATGGTGGAGGAAGAGCGGCCAGTCTGTAAATCGGAGAAGAAGACTAAATTGTTATCGATAACTCAGATTTTTTTATTTGTTGTTTAGTTTAGAATAGATGAGAGGATGATTCTAAAAGCAGGAACTCATACCTTTTTATAGTCGAACGCCAACTCCTTACAACACATAGCAAGCAGCATTACAAAAACATGTTCTTGCATCCCATTCTCCTATAGCTTCCCATGCACCCACAATGCATTAGTTTTCTTCATCTTCTATAATCAATAACTATTGCATCTATGCTGCGAGACAAACCGTAATAGTTATGACATTAAATATATATATATATATATATATATATAT